AGTTTAGCTTTAATTTAATGTAGATTACATTAACGGAGATGTAGTCTACTTTATTTTCAGTTTACAGTGGTTATAGAGATTAACGTTTGCTATAATGTGTTGTTTTTGCCTTTTTTGACGTTGTGGTTTTTTAGATATTTAATAATTTTCATCTGCAGACATGTAACGTTATGTTTTTCTTTATGTTTATTAATTCTTGACTGTTTTTTAAATTTATCTATCCTTATCACATACATTAACCGCATTAGTAGTTAGCTGCTGTTTGTTACACAAAATATAGTAATAAAAACACAGTCTTACCGTTTCAAATTCAGGCAAGTCCCTGATTGTTGGAATGGCACCTTTTTCCAAACGTAGCTTCGATGCCAACTTCGCCTGATATTGCCCCAAATTTGTAAAAGATTCTTTTGTGAAATGTTTAGCGCAGACACCTAACGTTGAGCAAGTTGAGATGGTTGTTGGAACAGCGTCATTAAAAATAAATTTCATCCACTTGTCCCTTGTAGTTTGGTCAGTTTTGGGTAAAGAAAAAACATTAGAATGTGGATTATGACAGTCAACCACAGAGCAACTCACGTGTGCACTACGTTTCTGCATCTTTCTTGACTGAATATGATGGGGAGAGGGGCAGGGCGGGCCTCCTCTGCGGTGTCCATATATGGTATATCCGGCCCCGTCTTGACGTCAAGTCGGGGGAGAAATTGAAATCTCGTATTTGAGTGCGCGTGCACGTTGGCTAGTTTAAGAACCCTGGGGTAAACAAACACTTCACTTTTGAATATCGGCATCCCGGCCAATGTATAATCGTTAGTCAATCATAACATACATTGATTCTCATGGAAAAGTGAAAATTGCACATTATGACTCCTTTAAAGCAACACCAAGGAACGTTTCCTTAGCGGTCGCCCTACAGGTTGGAAGCGGAATTGTCCATTACTGCTGTCGTAAATAATTTAGTCTTTCGCAGCCTACGGTCGCACGCGCACGCTCGCTGTTTATCCAGCACCGGCTTTGGAATCAACAATGGCAGACATCCCAACCTGCAAGAAGTCATTTCAGGGAGGTATATCTTGGTGACTGGATTGTTGACGGGGGGGCGGGTTGACTCACGCTATGTAACGTTATGTTATGCACGCAGTATGTTCTGTCTCGCATGCGCGCTCTAGATTCCGGCAGATTTTAACTAATTTGCGGGCATCAGGGAGACGCTATAGACTTGGGAAGTCTGCAATGGCCATAGACAATTTGAGGAAGGGGTGGGGGAAGTGACGTATGCCGTAAAGCAGTCAAGTTTTGTAGTTCTTTTTGTGCACGGGTTACTACCCGAAACCCGAAGTTACATAGTGCGAGTAAAAGCGATACAGACCACGTCAGGCTATGGAAGACGTGTCATTTAACCTATTGTAAGTCGATGTACCATCACAAGGGTCTTGTAAATATATTATGAAGGCTGAAAAGTTCCATAGTGTTGCTTTAAGTTTCAGTTTAATAAATAGAAATAAAATGCATCATTGTCTCAACACATGTAGAGTATGTTTTTATATTAGAAACTTAAGACTTTGAGTAAAACATCCTTGAGAATCTTAAGGCAAACGTTTTCTAAGTACACTCAACTACATTTTACAGTGTGAATATATTGTAAATATATTTTTCAATATATGAAGAGTGGCAATTCCTTATGTATTATTAAATATGCTGTAATATATAACGCAATATATTGTTTGATGTATTTTTCAGTATATTTATACCATATAATGTAACTCCAGTTTCTTCTTTGTGTTAAATCAGTGTATTTGTCCTGTAAGCTGCTTATTTAATTCTCATTCTAAAACTCTCTGTATACTCATACTGTATAATTGAACATATATTGCATATTTAATATACTGACTCAAACACACTAAAACAGGCTGAACTGGACCTGTGTGTTGATGACTATAAACTGGAAGTGAATGATGATTTACATCACTGTCGTGTTCAGGGACAGAGAGGATGATGGGAAATAGAGATTGTGGGACGAGGACTTCCTGTTATTAAACACAAGTGAGTGACAACAGGAGATTCACTTTTCGCTTTTCTCAGTAGATGTCACTGTTCTACCATTTTCACTATGATGGGATGTATAAATAAATACCTAAAACTTTCTTATTGTTACTAAAACATATTTTACATTAACTCAAGAAGTCCCCCCAATGAAACACACTGCAGGCCTTTTTCTAAAAAAAGTTTTTAAAAGTTATTCAAAGGGACGGTGGTGGGAATCTGTAGTAGCCTAAAAATCAGTCCATTGTAATTGATCAGTTACTCAGTAAGACCAAACAGAAAATTGCAAACAATATAGTAACATAATTTGAATTTTACAATGGGACTCGATCTTGGTGCTGCAGGCATAAAAATGAATGTTAAATGATAAATGTTCTTCATTACCATCACTTGTAAGAAACTTCTCAGCCTCTCCTGAACATAGACGCCTTTCGTTGCTCAAAAACAGGTGTTGTGTCGTGCATTGCAAACTGGAGTTGGAAGTTTATTTGACACAAGTATCTTATGAAAACACATGTAATGGCAACTGACCATTTTATTCAAAGAGAATAACAAATGAAAAAAAAAAAGATATACACAGCAAAATCACCAGTGTTAAATTAACACTGCTCAGTGTTTATATGAGTCCAGACTCAGAGAGTGTTAAATGAACACTGAAGCAGTGCTAAAGTTAATGAGATAATTAAGTGATTAATTGAGTGATAATTGAGCATTATCGAAGACACCTGATGTTAACAAGCAGAATCACTGAAGGAGAAAACCGTAATTGGTATGTTACCATTCTGGAGATCAGTGTTTGCTTTAGTTGGGCTCTTGACCCTTAAGTCTTTAACTTTAGTTCTTTGTTTGGCTGCTGTACTTGAGTTATAACAGCTAGATGAACAAAGAGAAGAGGTGATTTGATGGTGTTGGTTGTGTTTTAACATTATCATTATCTCACAATCATTTGACTTGATTAGAGCCCAATTTCTGAGGTACATTTACTTTATTGATTATAGCAGCATTGTCCTTGAAAATCATAATATTTGCAACTTTTTCAATGTAATCCAAATAATTTCTTAAAACTTAATCACATACAAAACTGTTTTTTTTTTAAGCAGACATCAAGAACCAGCCTGTGACTCTCAACAATGGTGACAATTATAAAGCATTTTGCAGTGTATTCTGGATGCCACCAATCAAATCTCATTCATGGCTCCCATCATGCATTGCTGCATGAATAAATAATGAGCTTATGTTCAGAGGTCATCTGTTTGTCACCATTGTTGAGATTCATACGCTAATTCTTGATGTCTGTGTGTGCCTACCTGAAATACTTTTTAAGGTGTTTTTTTAATGATTTGATCATTTTGATTTAATTGAAAAGGCTAAAAAAATGCATACTCTACAATGACAGTGCTGCTATAATCCATAAGGTAAACTTAACTCTGAAATTATGCTCTCAATGAGTTCAGTGATTCAGGCCAACTATTGATTATGTTAAAACAACCAATACCATCATATCACCTTTTCTCTTTGTTCATCAGGCAGGTATAACTCAGGTATAGCAGCCAAACAAAGAACTAAAGTTAATGATGTAAGGGTCAAGAGCCCAACTAAAGCAAACACTGATCTCCATAATGGTAACATACCAATTACGATTTTCTCCTTCAGTGATTCTGCTTGTTAACATCAGGTCGTAGATAATGCTCAATTATCACTCAAATAATTACTTCATTATCTCATTAACTGTAGCACTGCTTCAGTGTTCATTGAACATTCACTGAGTGTGGACTCATATAAACACTGAGCAGTGTTAATTTAACACTGGTGATTTTGCTGTCACTGTCAAATTCACAATAAAAGACTATGAATGTTGTTCCTTCCGCTCATGATTTTCTATTACAGAAATCTATTAATTACTACAATTAAATAAAATCTGACATGATTCCATAAAATGATAAATCGTTAATATTGAAAAACACATAAAATGTACAAAAAAAACGTAACAAATTAAACCACAAAATCTTAATTATTTTAAGAAATTAGTTTTGATTACATGAACCTTCACCAAAAATGCAATAAAAAAAGAAAATAAATTAAGCTGAAAAATATGGGTCAAAGCATTATTAAATATCATGAAGATGAAGGAATCGATGTTAAAGGGATAGTTCACTTTGAAATTAATTTTTGATATGTTTTAGCTTACCTCAAGGGCATCCAAGATGTAGGTGTCTTTGTTTCCGCAGTATTATCAATTTTGTTATTTTTTAGGTCAAACCTAACACAAACCGCTCGTTTCGTGTTTTAGGCCATCAATGTGTACTTACATTTACGAGTCATTAAATCATGTTTAATTTGGACTTCTCTGTGCGTGCTCTTTGAGGTGGTGACCATAGACCTGCATTATATGACTGACAGACAAGAACGGTTTGACCTAAAAATATCAAAATTGAAAATACTGTGGACACAAAGACACCTATCTTGGATGCCCTTGAGGTAAGCTAAAACATACCAAAAATTAATTTCAAAGTGAACTATCCCTTTAAGTCTCACAAACCCATTTCCTCATTTCTGAGCATGGCAGATCATTCCAGTTCTTTAAAGGGTCTCTGGCAGAATTCAGTTCAACACAGTCCTCATTTGTGCCATGAAAGCTATTCGGCTCACCGCTGGACCAAAACCTGAACAAAGTGGATCAGATTCAGTTCCTGTACAGCTCTAAAATATAAGAACTCGGAAAGCAAATTTGAGAAGATGAATTTACAAACAAATGCACACTGAACGCAGAGTGTTTTATCACTTACCCTTGTTTCAGTGTTGAATTATCCACCCATTTCATGATCCCCTCAGTCTCAATGTCAGTCAAACCAATCCACACTCTCTCCTTGACTAATGAAGTTATGCGCCTCTGTGTGTGAATATAAACAGGAGTAAGTGTGATTCCTCTCATTCATTAACAGTCACTCACACAATCTCACCTGCTTCTCTTCAGTGTTGATAATGACCAGATCAGCTCCTCGATCTCTGCAGAACTGCCTGCTCTCAGACCAGCTCATCGACTCACTGGATATGAAGAAAAAACCTGGACCACACAGATTTTCATACATAAACACTTTTCAAAACTGTAAACATATACAGTAAAGATAAAGAGAACTAGAAAAAAAGTAATTACTTAGACAAAGCTGTTGTTTACAAACCTCGTTTAGACACTTCTCTCGTCAGTTCCTCTCTCAAAGACGTGACTCTGGTCTCTAACTCCAGTTTCTTCTGACTCAAAGAGCTGAAGTTGTTCTTCAGTTGGTCTTTTTCAGTCATTAGATCAGTGTAATTGTCCTGTAAGCTGTTGATAGTGTGATTGAACTCTTCAACTGTGTTCTTGTAACTCTTTAACAGGCCTCTCTCTGCTGTGATGGTGATGTACAGTGTGATGAAGACCAGCAGAAGAACACACATGAGCCCGAGACACACTGTCATCAACACCAAACACCTGCTTCCTCCTGACAAACAGAGACAACACACACATCAGTGAATACCCTTCCTATTATTAGAAAAAGTATTAAAATCAACCTTTTAATCTACATTTGTCTTCAGAAAATATGCTTTTACAGTATATTATTTTACAAGACAAATATTTCTTTACGGTAAAATATCTAAAGATGAGCATATCGAAAAAGTATTTGTGTATAAGTGTTAATACATTAAATATAAAAGCAGAAACACTGACATTGTTCTTTGAAAATATATTTGAACTTGTATTAGTGACACCTTTAACAACATCATCTACGACACCATCTGTGACATCATCTCTGCTTTAAAGTAATTTTCTGCTTACTGCGCTTTTCATCTTTTCCTTCATCCTGGCCCTTATTCTGTGTTGCAGGTCCAGTTGTGTTCTTAACATCTCTGCGTTCAGGATTTTCACAAACAGTGTCTATTTCCATAGTTTGCTATTGTGTTAGACGGTATGTCTACACAGATGAGATGTGATCTTCAGAATTAGTTGTGTTTTTGAAATGCTGCAAACTCTATTCTTGTTAAAGGCCAGTGTGATATGAAACCACTTCTTGTTTAAAGACTTGCAGACCAACTTAAAAACTCCCTGCAGTTTAATACTTCTGTGTTTGTGTATTGTACATTCAACCACATTTTATCAGCTTCAAACAAAGACCACAAACTCACTAAAGCAATTCACCCAACTAAAGAAAACACTGATAACCATATAGTGAACACCAAACATTTTCAATAAAACATTCTAACACATCTAAACCTCTGTTAATTCTCAATTAAACTTCTGTAGACGTCTGACAGAAATAAAGTCAGTCTGGTTAGTAATAAGTGAAGCTGGTAATGCTGTTTGTGGAGTTGTTTAATCCTCCTCTGCTGAGATCTTCAGATTTAATGTCTTCTTTTCTCTTCAGTTGATTTCATCTAAGGCTGTGACTGAAGTCAGTTGTAGTTCTTGTGTTTCTGCTCCTCTCTTTTTCTGTTCTCTTCTTTCCTTCAGTGATTCTGCTTGTTAACAGGATTATTAAGGCTGAAATTACTCCATATTTAATATACACAGATTGTGTGGCTCAGATAAGGTCCAGTTCTGGTTTATTTATTTACTCTTGACTGACATGTGGCATTGCTATGCAGAGGTGTAAAGTCCAGGTTCAGAAAGTAAAAGTCCTCCTCAGTATTTTATTCCAATCACCTGGATTTGATCTTTAGCAGTTTTTCAGTCAGGAGACAGAAATCAGCTGAAATCAACTGTCAATCAGTTCATGGCTGGAATAAACACATGGCAGGACTTCTACTTTTTCTCTATTTCTACTCCTACTTTATACACCTCTGGCTCTGAGCAGTGTTGATTCAACACAGGGGATTTTGCTGTGTATATATCTTTAATATAGATCAGTGAGTTTTCCCAAACTATGTCCATCAATTCACTAAAGTCAAGGTATGGCAAGTTCAGAAAACATCATAAAATCCTACAACATCAGTCCATGTCCTTCACATTTAAATTCCTCCTGAACATATGAATCTATATACTAAGTTAAAAGTTGACTATATAACAAACCTGTGCAAGACAAATGTAATAATTCACAATCATTAGGAAACAATGGCTTTCATCCGCTTGGAGTTTATTTACTCCACAACCTATTCTGTGACTGGGATAGTTCACACAAAAATTAAAGTGCCCTTTTTAGGTTTTCCAGATATTACCTTTCATGTAGTGTGTAATATAGTATGATAACTTCAGTCTGATAAATCTGCTCTCTGCTGCCCCTGCTGGACTGGAGCAAATATAGCCATAGTGCAATAAACAGACTTAGATGTTAAAACTTCATGCTGATTTGTACTCGGCTTTCGCCAAGATAAGCAACAAACACTAAGACGTAGCTTTACAGTAAACTATGCTTCATCCATTTACACTTCTTTCCATATGGTGGTGTGACTCCCCTTCTGTCCGGCGTTAACGGCTGCAGTGTACTTGGCGCGTCAGCACACGCGACGGCTGCAACTACAGGACCAGCACGACAACCGTCTGGATTGAGCCGAGTAGGGGACATCTCTATGGTCTTCAAGTGGGCACCTTCCGTCCTCAGTGTTTCGTCGACTAGCCCACGACACCTCAAGAGGGCTCGACAGTGACTCTGGCGTCCCAGAGTCACCCCCCTCCGTCCCCCACTCAACTCAGCGAAAAACAAAATGCTGAGATAATAATGTCAACTGACCATTTTATTAAAACAGAAGCAGTTCAAAAGCTGTTTCGCAGACACTCAATATCAGAATAACAGGGTGAATCAGAGCAATCTGGGTGTCTCTACACTCAAAAAAATGATATGTTGGCTTTACTTAACTTTTTTATGTAAACAGGTTCCACCGGTTCCACATAAGTATGTTTCGTTAAACAAACATAATATGTTCATGTAACTTCAACATCATGGAATTTGGTCATTTTAAGCGACCCAATTAAACTCTGAGCTAATGAGTTAATTAAGTGAATAACTGAGTGATGATTGAGCATTATTGAAGACACCTGATGTTAACAAGCAGAATCTCTGAAGGAGAAAACCGGAATGTTTAAGTCACCATTATGGAGATAAGTGTGTGTTTTAGTTGGGCTCTTGACCATTAACTTATTATCTTTACACTTTGTTTGGTTGCTGTACATGAGTAATAACAGCCGGATGAACAATAAACAAAGGTCATCTGATGGTGTTGGTTATGTTTTAACATAATCATTTTTTCACAATCATTTGACCTGAGTCACTGAACTTATATTAAACTGAATATTTTAGTTAAGTTAACCTTTCGAATAATAGCAGCATTGTCATTGTAGAGCATACTATTTTTAGACTTTTCAATGAAATTCAAATGATCAAATCAATAAATAAAAAAGAAACTTCCTAAAAATATTTTGAGTAGGCACACACAGACATCAAGAATCAGCCTGTGAATCTCAACAATGGTGACAATTATAAAGCATGTTGTAGTGCATTCTGGGTGCCACCAATCAAAACTCATTCATGGCTGCCATCATGCATTGCTGCATGAATAAATAATGAGCTTATGATCTGTTTGTCACCATTGCTGAGATTCATATGCTGATTCTTGATATCTGTGTGTGCTTACTTAGGAGATTTTTTAAGAAAATTATTTTTTATTTCTTGATTTGATCATTTGAATTTCATTCAAAAGCCTAAAAATAGTATGCTCTACAATGACAGTAAGGTAAACTTAACTCAGAAATTGGGTTCAATATAAGTTCAGTGATTGATGTCACATGATTGTGAAATAATGATTATGTTACATCACAACCAACACCATCAGATCTCCTTAGTTCATTGTTCATCTGGCTGTTATAACTCACGTACAGCAACTAAACAAAATCTAAAGTTAATAAGTTAATGGTCAAGAGCCCAACTAAAACACACACTGATCTCCATAATGGTGACTTAAACATTCCGGTTTTCTCCTTCAGAGATTCTGCTTGTTAACATCAGGTGTCTTCAATAATGCTCAATCATCACTCAGTTATTCACTTAATTAACTCTTTAGCTCAGAGTTCATTTGGGTCGCTTAAAATGACCAAATTCCATGATGTTGAAGTTACATGAACATATTATGTTTGTTTAACGAAACATAGTTATGTGGAACCGGTGGAACCTGTTTACATAAAAAAGTTAAGTAAAGCCAACATATCATTTTTTGGAGTGAGACTTCTGTACTTTACTGTGATTTTCACATCAACACTTCAGGCCAACAAAGAGACGCATAACAGCTAGAAGAATGTTTATGTTAACATCTGCTTGTGAGCAAGTTATGAACACATCAGATGTAAGTGCAGAATTTCACATGAAAGCAGTTAATGATTAAATAAACTGACAGTTTTAAAAGACAGGAATCTTAATAATGAATTATGTGATCAAAATAAGACTTATTCCACAAGATAATACATGTAAAAGCATGACAGGAATGGATGAAATCTATTTCTCACAAATACATTTGATCCTCTCTGAGCAGAGGTAATCATGCCAGTTGTTCACGCTGTCTCCTTCAGGATCAAGCATGACGCAGTCCTCATCTCTGCCCCAGCTATTCGGCTCACCTTTTAACCAAAACCTGAATAAAATGTGTCAGATTTTTAATTATTCAGAACTCCAAAAGTTCAAGCAATCTGAATCTTTTGATGGCCGTATAAAAATAAATAAAAATAAAATACAAACAAATAAACCCACAGTGGATTTATGTGAGTGTTTTAGCACTTACCCTTGTTTCAGTGGTGAATTATCCACCCATTTCATGAACCCCTCAGTGTCAATGTCAGTCAAACCAATCCACACTCTCTCCTTGACTAATGAAGTTATGAACCTCTGTGTGTGAATAAAAACAGGAGTAAGTGTGATTCCTCTCATTAACTAACAGTCACTCACACAATCTCACCTGCTTCTCTTCAGTGTTGATAATGATCAGATCAGCTCCTCGATCTCTGCAGAACTGCCTGCTCTCAGACCAGTTCTTCGACTCATTGTATATGAAGAAAAAACCTGGACCACACAGATTTTCATACATAAACACTTTTCAAAACTGTAAACATATACAGTAAAGATAAAGAGAACTAGAAAAAAGTAATTACTTAGACAAAGCTGTTGTTTACAAACCTCGTTTAGACACTTCTCTCGTCAGTTCCTCTCTCAAAGACGTGACTCTGTTCTCTAACTCCAGTTTCTTCCGACTCATAGAGTTGAAGTTGTTCTTCAGTTGGTCTTTTTCAGTCATTAGATCAGTGTAATTGTCCTGTAAGCTGTTGATAGTGTGATTGAACTCTTCAACTGTGTTCTTGTAACTCTTTAACAGGTCTCTCTCTGCTGTGATGGTGATGTACAGTGTGATGAAGACCAGCAGAAGAACACACATGAGCCCGAGACACACTGACATCAACACCAAACACCTGCTTCCTCCTGACAAACAGAGACAAAAACACACACACACACACACACACACACACACACACACACACACACACACACACACACACACACACACACACACACACACACACACACACACACACACATATCAGTTAACAACCAATTCATATTATTAGAAATATAGGCTCAAATCAAGCTTTATCTTAAGATAATACACAGGCCTTTTTAACAAAAACATTTATTCTTTGATAATGATAGCGGAATATCTACAATAAAAAACGCAAATAACAACATATGTTGAAAAGTTAAATAAAATGTTAATACATACCATAATATGCAGAAACATGAACAAATTGTTCTTTGAAAAAAGTTACGTTTCTCATTTCCTCAAAAGTTAACAACACCATTTCTTCTTCAAATGAAACTTTACTTACTGCACTTTCCATCTTTCCCTTCATCCTGGCTGTGATTCTGTGTTCGAGCTCCAGTTGTGTCCTTAATATCTTTATTTTCCACATTTTGATAAATGTCCTCTAAGTCCATAATTCACTCTTATGTCTGACAGCAAGTGTTCACAGATGAGCTTGAATGATAGTCATGGTTTCTTTTAAATAGCGCTAACACTAAACGGGAAGTGGCTATTAGTTTAGACAGAGAAAAATACTTTCATTCCCACAACGAAACTCTCTGAAACTCTGCAGAGACTCAAACACCTTTAAACAGGACTTACTTGACCTCTATAATGATGGCAATAAACTGGAAGGGAATTAATAAACGTTTTTAAGATGGGATGAGAGGATGATGGAAGGAAAAACAGAGATAACTATTAAACACAAGTGGGTGTACATAAAAGTTTTCAATGTTCAAATATCACAATATTTAGGGTTGGAACAAGTCTCACAAATCCCTTTTATCACATGTTCAATACAGTTCAATACAACGTCCACTTTGGTCATTTGGTTCACCTTTGAGCCAAAACCTGAATATATGTATGAAACTTTAAATTATTTGGACGCCCTTTTTAATTTATAACTGTCAAATTGATTTCAGTGGAATTGCGTTACAGAAATAAAAGACATAAACACATAAACATAATCCAAAACCCCGAACCAATCGTGACAATTACAGACCCACAGTTTTATTCAGAAACCAAACAATAAGAATAATTATATTTCTATTTATTAATTTGGCAGAAAGCAATTAAAAATGAGAAACATCACAAGCAATATTATGCAAGAGCCAACAGGACTAACATTATCACAACAGCATGTTTCAAGAATATGCTAAATAAGGTACAGAAGTGAAAGTGCAGAAAAGTATTGTATTTATATGTATTTGCAGTTCAAGTTAAGTTGTTGCAGAACAGGTGTGATCTTCAGAGTGATGAGTGTTTTCACACCAGTGCTAACGCTAAACAGGAAGTTGTTTCAATTCACACTGGCCTTTCCCTTCGACAAGAATACAGACTTGCAGTCCAACTTAAAATACTCCCTGCAAACTCACACTACTGTGTTTGTGTGTTGTACATTCAACCACATGTTATCCGCTTCAAAAGCCAGCAAGAGGAATCTGTGATCACTCAAATAAACTCAAGCACACTTAAACAGGCCAAACTGGACCTTTGTGTTGATGATGCAGAAACAGAAGAAAGTGTCTGAATCTGATGTTTCTGTTCCTCTCTGATTAATTCAGTCTGATAAACCTGCTCTCTGCTGCTCCCTGCTGGACTGGAGCAAATACAGCCATAGAGCAATAAACAGATACAATGAAATATAAAATAAAAACAGAAATACAGTTTATAATAATAATGGTTATTGACCATTTTATTCAAAGCAAAAGCAATACAACTCAAAAGCAGTTTCACAGACACTCAATACCAGAATAATTGGGAGAATATGGGAGACTTTAAACTTCTATATTTTACTGTGATTTTCACCTCAACACTTCAGACCGGCAAATGAGACGCATAATAACAGCTAGAAGAAGGTTATGTTGGCATAGATCTGCTTGTGATGGACAAGGTGTGCCACACTCTCAGATTACCCGGTTCACCCTGCTGATGTTTATTATAGTAATATTTTTTTTGTTGTTGTTGACAGTTTTATATTTTTCTATTACGTGAATTTCCATTTATGGTTTTGTCTGTTACAAAATAGCCTAGTATAAAATGAAACTGATATCATGAAAGCAGTTACTAATTACAGTAGCAGACTGTTTAAAAGACAGGAATCTCAATCAAAAATCAATGATAATAGTGATGGTTCCATAAAAAAATACAATTAAAAACATGAGAAGACGGGATGAACCCTATTTCTCACAAACCCCTTTCCTCTTCTCAGAGCATGGGAGATCATTCCAGTTCTGGATGGGATTCGAAGGCGTCAGTTCAACACAGTCCTCGCCTCCACCGGCATTATTTGGCTCACCTTTATTCCAAAACCTTAATAATATTGAATAGTGCAACAACAACAAAATACAATAGAGAAGATTTTAGTTTTCTCTAAAATACATAAATAAATAAATAAATCTTTAGGGTGTGGTGTTTGAGGAAGCCTCATGTTTAAAATACATCCACAGACAGTGTTTTAGCACTTACTCTTGTTTCAGTGGTAAATTATCCACCCATTTCATGATCCCCTCAGTCTCAGAGTCTGACAAACCAATCCACACTCTCTCCTTGACTAATAAAGTTATGAACCTCTGTGTGTGAATATAAACAGGAGTAAGTGTGATAAGCTAAAACGCATGCGCAGGTTACTTTACTTCCTGAACAAGTGCGCACCTGAGTCCGTGTTGCTTTCACATTCACGCGAACCGCGGCACGGGTCGGGAGCAACCGAACTCACACCACCTCCTCCAGGTAGTCTCGGGTTCGGTACCCCAGTGCGCACCCGGGTCCCATGACAGCGTTCACATTAGCAATTTTTCATGCGAACCGTGCCCCGTTCCGAACTAAACTGCCAGTGGGAAAGCACCCTTAGTATACTTTAAAGGGGCACTGTGTAATTTTTAGCGGCATCTAGTGGTGAGGTTGCGAATTGGAACCAACAGAAGTTACAGTGGCCGACAGGAAGTGATGTCGTCGTCTGAGACAGCAGAGAGTAGCCAGTTAAACAATAAGGTTTCTTTGCAAAGATAAATTAAGAAATTATGTTTACTTAATTATTCAGTAAAAAGATATGTTATTGCAAATATTATTGTTATTTGTTCATCATTGTGTTAGTGTTTTATTCGCTGACTTTAGCTAGATCTTTGCACGAAGAACAACAGTGACGAAACGCGTTTGTCCGTTTAGGGCCACTGTAGAAACATGTCGACGTACTTCAATGTAAGTGTGTGTAGATAGAAACGGCTCATTCTAAGGTAATAAAAACATAATGGTTCATTAAGTAAGGTCTTTATACACCCCTGAAAACATAGTCATGTATATTATATTGCATTTCTGTCAACAGATCCTCCTAAACACACAATGCACGTTTAATTATATGCCTGTGTAGGGACTAATTACATGCTTGATTAGTGATATTAAAGTGTACTTTATTTGTACTAAAAATGCATTACAAATTCATTACAAGTGTCTTTGAAACACACAAGCCATATACCATAAGTGTATTATATTTGAGTAAAAAGTATATGCTCAGTAATACCTTTGGCTTATTCCAAATACGACAAATTGCACATGTTGTCTTCAATTACAAATGCACATTAATAAACAAATATTACTTAGCTATACTTTGCACTATTGTATACTATAATGTATTTTGAAAGTATACTTCAATACATTGTTACAATGATCATTTTTCAGCACACAGTTAAAAATACAGCCTAACTAAAGTATATATTTAAGTAAAGTGCAAATAAATACACTTTTAAAAAATAAACAGAATTTTCACTTGAAGTATATATTTTTAAAATAAGTACAAATATTTTAAAGTGTGTTAAAAGTTGTATTGAGAAAATGGGTAGACTCATGATGACAATATACTTTTAATATATTTAAAGATGGTAAAAAAGTTGTTAGCATATTTGCAATGTACTATTTAAAAAGGGAATACACTTCAAATACAACGCAGTATATATATATTTTTAATTAGGGATTGTTTATTCTCAGCACCACCTTTGAACTATTAAGCAAAAAACTGCAACTTTGAGACAGTCTTCAAGATTCAGTATATGAATCTCAACAATGGTGACATGCTTAATGCTGCAATGCATGCTGGGATCTATAAGTTTTATTCTAGTGTAGCTCTCAACATGCATTACTTTTAACACTGTCAGCTGTAGTTGTGTTTATCTTTTCTTTAGTGATTCTGCTAGTTATTATAAAGTGTCTTTAAAAAATCCAACAATCATCAGTTAATCACTTTTTCAGTTATCTAATTACCTCTAAGGGTGATGATACACAGGGCAACTTGTTGAGCAATGTTGCCGTCAACTGGCCACCAGATGAGACACAGGGCCCACGACCGATCTAAATTATCCAGATAGAAATGTATTGCCCATTTTCAATGGGAAAGTGCCCAAGCAACATTCGCTCGGCAAGATTACTCAAAAAGTTGCCCTGTGTTTCATCACCGTAACAGTATTTTTAACACTGCTGGTGGTTATTTAAACACCCTGTGGTGAAAATTTAGTTAATGTTGTTTATATGTCTCTGGATTTTGATTTAAGACAAACAAACAATATACAAATTCATGTCAACACCATTGCTGAGTATTTTCAAACTGCAGTGAACCAAAGACAGTCTCAAAAACACAGATAGAAACCACCCCTGTTTTCCACCGTAACAAACATCACCAATCTGTCAATGTGCGGCGGGACCTTCATCCTCTGATTTTTTATGATGTTCAAAGCGTTTCTAATCCAGCGGGCACCTGGCTAACGTCAGACCCAAGTCTCATTGCGACTTGGGTCTGGGAACCACATGTTTATTTTCTCGTATTTGAGGCATGGTTTACGAATGCCCAGAGCCGTTTATTGGGTGCTACGAATGTCTATCAAATGCGCCTGTACGTAGCTCATATCCAATCGTTTCAATCATACCAGATGACGTATGTTGAGCGACAGAAATTAGACGAGGAAGCAGACAAAGGGTCAGAGATTTATGTGTACACGATGGCGTGTATCTAACGGCCGTTTCACACCGCATGCGTGAGCGGCGTGTATTTTTTTGGCGTGGATGTTAATCCATGAGTGCATTCGCACTGGGAGCAGGAGCAGCGCGTGAGCAACAGCACTGTAAAAAAAGATTAGTTGACTCAACTTAACTAAGTCAAGTCATCTTGTTGATCTGACTGAGTTAATTTGAGTCAACTTATAGTGTCAAGTTTATTACACTTCAAAACACGAATTGATGCAACATGCAGTCTGTTGACTCAACTTCCTGTATAAAGTAATGTGGACTGGAAAACATTACAAGAGAACTAAAAAAAATTTTGGTTGAACTTATTTTGGTAAATGGACTGCATTTATATAGTGTTTTAAACAGACCCATGGTCGCCAAAGCGCTTTACACATTGCCTCGCATTCACCGACCGCGGTGTCAGCCATGCAAGGCGCCATCCAGCTCATCGGGAGCAGCTGGGGTTAGGTGTCTTGCTCATGGACACCTCGACACTTGGTCAGGTGGAACCGGGGATTGAACCACCAACCTTCCGGGTTGTAGACAAACTGCAACCATGAGCAAGACACGTAACCCCGGCTGGGTCACCTTGCGCACCTATTAGGTCAAGGTGCGCATTTCAAACAACACCCGCAGTGACGTCACGTGCAGTGTTGAACTCTGAAAATCCGAGCCGACCGCCATCTTTTTTCCTCGGAACCGAGCCGTCAAAGTAAAACTGTTTTAGCTTAGCTAGTTCATCTGTTGGTAATGTAAAGTTGTCTAATGTCTCTCCATCTCAAATTATCCGTCAACATAACCTGTGATGAATATTTCATGTTTGTTCGTTTTTTTGTAAATACGTTAGCATGTAGCACTAGCTGGCTAGCGCCGCCGGAGTGTCAGTGTTAAGTTTGACTGGCCAATTCTCAATTCTCATGTAAATTCTTTGTAGATATTAGTTTGCTTAAATTTTTTAAATCTAGTAATTTCTGTAAACTCAAGTAACTTGGCAATAGAGCGGCAGTGGCTCAGTGGTTCATGTAGTTTGTCTACAAACCAGAAGGTTGGTGGTTCTACCCCCGGTTCCACCTGACCAAGTGTTGAAGTGTCCATGGTGTTGAAGTGTTGAAGTGTCCATGGTCGCCAAAGCGCTTTACACATTGCCTCGCATCCACCGCCATGGGTGGATGCGAGGCAATGTGTAAAGCGCTTTGGCGACCATGGGTCTGTTTAAAGCACTATATAAATGCAGTCCATTTACCAAAATAAGTTCAACCAACATTTTTTTTAGTTCTCTTGTAATGTTTTCCAGTCCACATTACTTTATACAGGAAGTTGAGTCAACAGACTGCATGTTGCATCAATTCGTGTTTTGAAGTGTAATAAACTTGACACTATAAGTTGACTCAAATTAACTCAGTCAAAGCAACAAGATGACTTGACTTAGTTAAGTTGAGTCAACTAATCTTTTTTTACAGTGAGTGAAGCGCGTGTTTCGGCGTCAAATCTGTTTTTGCTGCGCTGCTCACGCTCAATTAAAGTAAAGAAAGAACACTTTTGACGGACAATAATAAATATGATTTCACACAAAAAGTGCCCTAATGCACAGAATAAACATGTCTAGTGATTTTTAACAAGAACTTATAGGCAAATAAAAGAAAATGAAGACTCAAAAATATTTATAGAAGATTTAGGCTACCCGGTAAAAACTAGTTTTTAATTAAAAAAAATAAAGTAAACTAGCCAGAAAATATTTTATATAAACGTTATTTTAGTTTATGTAACACACAGACAGACATAGCACAACCCAAATCAAATGTTTTTTGATGTCGATGTTTGACCTCAATTTAATGTCTTTTCAACATCTATTGCTCTCTGGCAAGGCTACGTTCAGACTGTCAGTCCGAATCCGATTTTTGTGCATATCCGATTGAAATTCGATCAGAATTAGCTATTGTGAACAGCAAAAAAACAAACAAATGAAATGCATTTAGCTTTGAAAACATATTCAAATCACATTTCTGGATATCCGTTTCAGTCTGCTGTGATTAAATATCATGAGAGCTCATGTGAATATAATTACCTGCACAGTATGCAGAATAGTACACAGTTGGACTAACCAGCTCATAGACATAATAATCTCCTGGACAGGCTTTGACTTTAATGGGATAAGATCCGTAATAGCAGCAGTAATTCACAGCGTTACCGCAGACATCTCGAGTGACGACTCCATCTGTTACTGTTGGGTGTCCACCACGGATCCACAGTGGGGCATGAGTGCCACAGCTGTACCTCGCAACACATGTGTCTGGGATGTGAGCGCTAGTGCTGTTAATGAAGAGACGATACCAGCCGCTCCAGGAGACAGACCTGTCACACTTTCTGACTGAAGCGTGTGTATTATTGATGGATCTCCATGGATTGTCCAGCACAGTGTAGTTGTAGCAGGGGTCTGTAGAGAGATAAACTTATGAAAAGTTTCAAAGAGTCACAGTCTAACACATTATATATACTGTATTATACATATATTTATAATATCTTTAATTTATAATTAAATTCTATATTATGAAAACACCAGTACAAAGTTATAGTCTCG